ATTTTTTTTCCTTCCTCATCATCACCAAACTCAATTCAATAGAATTTTTTTTTTTCCCCTCATCACCAAACTTAGTTAATATAAATTGTTGGATTGATTCAGAGTCTATATATATATATACACACACGAATTTTTGGGAAGAAGATATATATATATATATATATATATATATATATAACTGCAAGAACAATCTGTTCATAAGGGTTTTTTTTCCCTCATCATCACCAAACTCCGTCAATAGAAATTGTTTGAACTAATTCAGATTATATATATAGAACTATATATACACACACGGAACAATCTGTTCATAAGGGAATTGATTCAGATTCTACATATAATTGCATTTGTTCATTTGTTTGGTGATGATGAGGAAAAAAAAAAAAAAAAAAAAAGAAAGTGCAATGACCGGCTAAAGGGAAGGAGAAAACACAATAACAGGTTCAGTAAGTTAAAATTCTCTTTTCAAGATTTGTTTCTTCAAACAAGAGAATTAAAGAAGAAGAAAAAAAATGACCCCACGCACGTAGGTTGATTCTAGCCAATCAAAGTAGGCAACTAATGACAACAGTCGACATAGGTTACTCTTGCTAGCAAAGCTCAGCTAGCCATTAACTTCCCAATTTTACTCTTTTAAGTAACTAAAGATAGTAGTTTAACAGATTGATTAAATCCAGTTTGTGTTTTTGTATTGATGACTGGATCAAAATTAAATAGATGATGGACCTTCATCTTCAACAGCTTAGTAGGTAAAATTAATGATGATGGGAACAACATAATGTTTATCTTCAACAGCTTAGTAGGTAAAGTTAATGATGAGATTTAATCTTTAATCTTTATAGCAGAGAGTTTGATCGAAGCCTCAAATCAATCCTACTACATGGTCAGTGTCACCACCACTCATGATAATACACTACAACATAAGACTTGTTAATCTATAATGCATGTTAGAGAAATTAATTTCTTTTCATTTACTTCACTTTTTTTTTTTTCTTTTTATTATCTAGTATTAAATTTTATTTAACTAAATTACCTTGATAAAAATTTCACAAATGCACTTTTACTTTAACAACCTCCTAATTTCACTTTTATTTTCCTCCATTATTTTATCCTCTTTCTGAAATGTTTTATCCCACCATTCAACTTGCCTAGCTTTCATTGAATGAATGAATAATTTCAGAAAATTCGTTCACTACCCAATGGATAAATGAAATGTGGGCACACATGTTTTGAGTTTTCTTATTTTTTTATTTATTATTTTTTTATGTTAGGTTTTTGAGCGTGTTGACTTTATCCATAATTTCAAATATAAGACCGGTTATTATTAGAGCCCCAACCAATTGATGTAATGTTTGTCCATTTCATCTAGACAATACAGTCCACCAATAATAGGTTGGGCATCTTGAGCAATCAACTGAGATTTACTTTTTTAATTATTTAATATTTGATTCTTGATATTTTTATTATTTTAAATAATTGGATTGGTAAATATGTTTGACTTAATTAATATTTAAATTGCAAGTGTCGTGTTGTTTTAATAATTAGGTTGCATTTCGAGTTTGAATTTTGTACCCTCTTCTTTTCTTACCGTAACTAACTCACTAATTTTGAACATTCTTGCCCTTATAAAAATAAAAAATAATAAAAAAGAAAAGAAAAGAAAAGAATTTAATTTTCAAATTTTTTGACAACAACGAGTTAGTAATTTATCAGGAGTGTCTTTCAGTAAAAATTGGAACAAGAATTGAATAAAAGCAAGAGAAAGTACATTCTCAGATTGACATATTAAGAATAATGATATGGTGTGTTTCTTGGGTTGGAACCTAATCATAATTAGCTTCAGAATAAAGTACCACAAGTAGGCCACATTATGGTATACTTATTTAATAACCACCCCTTCCATCTCAAAACTCACATAATGTGTCTTTTTTTTTTTTTTTTTTCGTTCTGTTATTTTTTATTTATTTTTTTTCAATTGATGAGAGGCATAAGACTCCAATGAGTCACAAAAATTAGGCAAAGACAAATTAATAAGATTCTAATATCTAACTAGCTAATCCTAGTCGGGTTGGCATGTGCCCACCCGTTGACAAATCCAGTGGAATAATGTAGAGCAGCAATTCTACATACATGGGAAGCATTACAATACCTTCTACTTGTAGTTCATTAAAATAACACACACATACACAACTTGCCGCCTCTGTTTATGTTGCCCAACATTACCAATGAAACTAAAATCCAATTGTTCCAGATCTACGCGTTTTTGCAAAGCCATGCAAGTTGACTTTACACAATATATACTTACAAATCCCTCAATTTCTTCAATCTCAAACTAACCTACCCTTTCCTCAATCACTTATACGCACATATATATATATATATATATATATATATATATATATATATATATATATATACGAACCAATCCCATTAGACACATTCAAGACAATGGCTTCTAAATTCCTTATCTCTTCTCTCACCATACTTGTGGTTCTCACATTACTTTCATTCTTGTCTTGTGTGTCTTGTGCTGATGTTCTTCCTGGCAATCCTATATCGTCCGGGACCATTTGTCAGTCCACTCCTTATCCTTCCTTCTGCAAATCTATGCTCCCCATCAATAACTCCGCCAATGTATATGACTATGGCCGGTTTTCTGTCCGGAAGTCCTTATCATCTGCTCGTAAATTCTTGTCACTAATTGAAAAGTATCTTAGCCGTCCCTCTTCTTTGACAAATGGTGCCATTCAAGCTCTGAACGATTGCCAAGTTCTAGCTGCCCTTAACATGGACTTTCTGTCAAGTTCCTTTCAAACTGTGGATACCACTGCCACAATTCTCCCTACCTTGAAAGCCGACGATGTCCAAACTCTGCTTAGTGCTATTTTAACCAACTCACAGACTTGTTTGGATGGCCTTCAAGCTACAGCCTCGGCTTGGAGTGTCAAGAATGGTCTTTCCATGCCTCTTGCTAATGACACAAAGCTTTATAGTGTTTCTTTAGCTCTCTTCACCAAAGGGTGGGTTCCCAAGAAGAAAAAGGGGATCACATGGAAGCCTACTAAGAAGCAATTAGCATTGACAAATGGTGGCTTTTCTTTTAAAATGTCTAGCCGACACCAGGCCATATTCGAGGCTGTGGGCCGAAGGAAACTTCTTCAGGCAGGTGATGATCAGGTTCTGGTGAGTGACATCGTGATCGTGAGCCAAGATGGAAGTGAAAATTTCACCACCATCAATGATGCAGTGGCTGCAGCTCCAAACAACACTGATGGAACCAATGGCTACTTTTTGGTGTATATAACAGCCGGTGTCTATGAAGAATACGTGTCCATTGCGAAGAACAAGAAGTATTTGATGCTGATCGGTGACGGGATCAATCAGACGGTGATCACTGGCAATCGTAATGTTGTTGATGGGTGGACTACATTCAATTCTGCAACATTTGGTAATTTCAATATATATATTTTTTTTATTTTTTCATTACTAATTGCATTAATTAATTAATTAGTTTGTTCCATATTAATTCTTACGAATTTTATGTGTGTGTCAATCAATATTTCAGCTGTAACCGCACAAGGATTTGTGGCCGTGGACATAACATTCCGAAACACAGCTGGGGGAATCAAGCACCAGGCGGTTGCTGTAAGAAATGGGGCTGATTTGTCTACATTTTATAGGTGCAGTTTTGAAGGGTACCAAGATACATTATATGTACATTCACTTAGACAATTTTATAGAGAATGTGACATATATGGGACTGTAGATTATATATTTGGAAACGCTGCTGTTGTGTTCCAAAATTGCAACTTGTATCCTCGGCTGCCACTCTCTGGACAGTTCAATGCCATCACTGCCCAAGGCAGAACAGACCCGAACCAGAACACCGGCATTTCAATACAAAATTGCACGATCAAAGCAGCCGACGATTTGGCATCAAGCAACAGCACTACCCAGACGTATCTAGGAAGGCCGTGGAAGGAATATTCAAGGACTGTTTATTTGCAATCTTTCGTGGACAGCGTGATTAATCCTGTGGGTTGGCACGAATGGTCAGGTGATTTTGCACTAAACACCTCATACTATGCCGAGTACAATAACACGGGGCCTGGATCTGACACTAGTGGTAGAGTGACATGGTCCGGTTTCCACATTATTAATAATGCCCCCGACGTTACTAATTTCACCGTAACTAACTTTATACTTGGGGGTGATTGGTTACCTCAGACCGGAGTGCCTTACAGCACTGGTGGATTATAATGAGCAGCAGCAGCACCACGCCACCACATTGTATTGAAAATTTCTTTTTTCCATGTTCTTGATTCTTGTAATTGTTTTAGTCAATTAAATAAGCATGTAAAGCCCAAGCTGCACCAAATGTAGAGCTTGGAATTTAACTGTTAATTCAATTGCTATATGTTAATTTGAATTGTCAATATTGGGTTAATTCATTTTATTGTTGTGCTCAAGAACACCCCTTCCAACTTTATCTTAATAAAAATCTCTCTAGGGTGAGGCGGTGGGGTCAAAGAAGTAGGCATGCATTTTGGTCTTTTGGGGAGCTTATGAACGATCAATTGAATACTTAATGACTTGTGTGGCCTGGGAAAAAAGAAAATGATATAAATGTGAATCGGATTTTGTACTGTGACAGCTATTGAATGGGACATGCATTTAAAAAAGGCTGCAAGACATCAAGCCCATCTCTGTTTAAGCAAGGTAAGGAATGGGATGAAACCTAACAAACTGAAGAAAAGTAAATGATAATTGAATGCTAGGATATTGTTGAATTACTAGTTGGTCTGCATTGGAAGATGTGATTTTACGTGGAGAGTATGTACGGACAATAGGTAAAAGACATAAATTAATGGGCTTCAATTAAAAATGCTCCGGGACAGAAGCGTGCTCAACAATGAAGAATTTATATACTCGTGGGAAATACTGGTGTTACTCATCGAAAATTATTGAATATTCTGGGAATTTCTATTATGTAATAATTTTGACTAATTATTTTATTATTCTTTTTTTAATAATAGAAAATAACAACTAACTCAAAATAATAAGGTTATTACATGAAATAGAAATACGTATGTAAATGGACATGATCACTTTTGAGCGTAAACATGGGCGACGCTGAGAGCCATGTTGAACAACTGGCGGACAAAAATGTTTTTCTGAGACACCTCCACGGCACGGCCACTGGTCTGTTTCTGGATCCCATCCTCACAAACGTCAATATCAGTAATGGCAGCCTTCACCCACCTGTCCACGTCGCTATATGCACCCACACTCAATGCAAGGACCGCGTTGTCAATCTGATTGGTGGCGTCCAGGTACTGCACGCCGCAGTCACTGATGGCTTGCTGCACGGCCGGGTCCGTATTCCCTTGACGACGAAGGTATTCCCTGATCTGGGCCGACTCGTCGGTCGCATTTTGGTTTGCAAGCTTGAGTGCGAGGAAGGCAAGACCTTTTATGTCTGAATTTTGGCTCTCGGGACTAGCCTGAAGAAAAGAGACACAAAAATCCTTGGGTGTGGCTTGCTCGCATGCCTGTGAAATGGTGTTTTGGTCGGCCGAGATGAGGCTAGGGAGAAGAAGGATTATTAGAGGTAATAGAAAGCATAAACTTGAAATCATGGGATGACTCATTTTGGATCGTCTCTCTCTTTGCCTGAATATGGTACCTCCACTTTCTTGAGGTTATATATGGGGATGGTTAGTTTTTTATGGTTTTTAGGGCTTGTTCAGTTTTGGGGACAGCCTTAAAGAATGATCATCCATTGTTATTACAAACCCGTATTAATTAGAAGTTAGTTGGTTTTTAGGCTTTGTTAACCACTAAATCATTAAGGAGGTTATTTTTTGCAAATCACTATCATCTTTTCCATTATTAACAACCATCTATATTCACCAAATCAAGACAACTATATACCCCAATTCTAGTACCGCACACATTTAACGCCATTGGTATTTATCCCTCTTTGAAAACAAAGAACGAAGATTAATTTGTATGATTTACTTGCCAAAAAGAGAAGGGGTGGGGTTCGACTGGTTCAGATTAGAACTTGTTTAATTTTTAAGAAAGTATATAAATTACTGTTTTTGAAAATAGACATTTTTAATTGATTTTTTAAAAAATCCTCTCAAAAAATGTTAACCATGCAAATTTTTTATTTTTCAAAAAACCAATTACTAAACCAAGCGGCCTCAATTTTTCTTTAGTTGCATCAATGTTTTATTTGTGATCTTACCTTATCGAAAAAAGGAATATATATATATATATATTCGTGATTTAATGGCTCTAAGTTGGGTTGGGCCAATATAAGTACGCTATTGGGGCTATTCTCAAAGTAATGACTTACATTAGCGGCCTTGTTGGAATATAAAATGGGCCTCAGCCGCCTCAATTTGATATATTCCCTTCCTTAAATGAAAAAAATGGAAGACACTCACATCCAAAATAGAATTGGACGCCAACCTCTACGTCGAAAATTTTAGGTGATTTTATGGAGTGTTTTATAACCCACAATGGATTATATCTTGAAAAATAAATTTACTAAAAGGATGGTATAAACTTTATCTTCAATGGACTTGAATATTAATTGAATATCAAATGTGGCTGCATGAATAATTCAGCAACATTAATTCAGCGTTCTTAATTTCTATATTATTATAAATAAATAAAAGGCACTTGTACAATAAATATATGTTTATTATTTTTTGTTTTATTTTATCTTATCTTACTCTTATCAGCTTTCTTACCCACCCAACAAGCCATTTACCACGTTAGCTAAAAGTCACACCAAAACTTTTAACTACATCCATAAAGTTGAATGTTAAGATATAAATATTAGAATTACACAATTAATGAGTCATTTACTAATAAGCGAAACAGTTAGCTAGTTATAGACAGGCACATTAAAAGGTACTCGTTAATTCCTACAATTAACTCCAAATTAATAAAAAGATAAAAAAAACCATCATTATTCCAATTTAATCTATAAATAAAAAACAATTAAAGATCGACGTAATCCAATATCCACAACAGGATCAATTTGGATAAAATAATATAAAGTTTGACCACAATATTGGATAGCATAATATTCCAAATTAACAAGATTTAATCACGGTGCGGCAAAAAAATTGCTAAAGTAGACTATGCAGTGTGATGTGATCCAAAATTTTTAATCACAATGGATAACACTGAATTCCATTTTTTTTTTTTAATTTCCTTTTTTAAACACAACACTGAATTCAAACTTATCACAACAGTGTTTATATCCCGAAATGGATAAGGCATTTAAATGAATTAAAAAACCAATAAAGGGGCGCAAAAGTAGCAATATGGCACATAGTATATACAACACCAGCCAGAAAAAGTTCCGAAACGTATGAAAGAAAGCACTGCCTAGTGCCACGTCTACAAAATCGACGCCACGTGTTTTACTGCCGAGGCTTACCTGATACAAACGTTACAGATAATTACCAAAGTTCTGCCCGGTGGTTCGATATCCGATAAGACTCACCGATCAGCTCTTCGATCTGACCCAAACCACAGCCTTATCGTCTCTATCTACTATATGCTCCAAAATCTTTTCACCGACAAACCTGGACTATCCGGTTTCCCCAACCCGTTATCACTATTCGACCCGGCATCCATATCTTCCGAATTTCTCGAACCCACCTCGTTTGTCACCGGAACCTCTACTGTTATACCCTCCAAAGCAGGCGGCGAAGAAGAAGCGCAAAAAGTTGTTTGATCTTCATCGGTTCGAGACTCTGGGCACAGCCTAAAACTCGACTCTGCCTCCGAACTGGCCGATTCGGGCACTGTTTGGATGGTGGTTCGGACCGGAAAGGGAGGTTGAACCGGGGCTCTGCAGAGTGGGCAGTTAGAGTGGGAGTGAAACCACATGCCAATGCAATCAACGTGGAAGCAGTGGTTACACTTGGGTAGAAGACGACCCCTCTGGTGGTCTTCGAATTCAGATAAGCACACGGCGCATTCTAGAGGAGGGTCGTGGAAGACAGAGTCGTAGATGAAGGTGGGGAGGGATGTGAGGACGACTGAGTCGAGACCTTGGGGTGCATTGACGATGGATTCGGACTCGAAGGAGAAGCGGTGAGACCGTCGAAGGCTGCGGTGGTGGTCACGGAGTTGGCGGGCACGGCGGTTGAGGGACCAGCGCGCGTAGGAGTGGAAGCAGACTATGATGAAGCAAACGGCGAAGAGAATCACAACGGAGATCAACATTACCCTTCCGCTAAATCCATAGTTGTTTGGATCACAGCCCCTTGTGGTTGTGAGAGCTGTTGTATTATCATCCATGAGAGAAAGAGAGAGAAACAGAGTGTGCGTTTTAGAGAGAGAGAGAGAGAAAGGGGGAGGTTCAAATGGGGGAAGTTGGGATGGGAAGGGAAGAGGAAGGTTCCTCCTTGGATTTGAGTTGATCGGTTTCTCAGCCTTTTTAAAGTTGGGGAAGTGGCGGGCTGTTTTCCGCTGCTCTATATATATTGTTGCCTTCTATGGAATCCTGCTTTCACTGTTTGTCGCTTCACATAAAAATTTTGATGTTTGACAAAATAAAATCACGATTGAGATTTGAGGATGTCAAAAGGGCACAACTCACTTTTTTTTTTAATTATACTTTTGGAATGCTTAGTATGATTTGGGCAATAGGGTCATCACACCCGGTAATATCACACCTTATAAAGAATATTCATAAAGTTTTAATTTGATACAAATAAATCTCTTTTATAAATTTAAATTAAAAGTTAACTAAATTATTCTTATTAAACTATTTTATAAATTCTATAAAAATAAATAAATTTTTTAAAAGGATTGAAAAAGACATTATTGGAGGACACCTTTCATGTACAAAAAAATACACCTAGGCTTCGTTTGGATAGGAAGATCTAGGGGATTTGGAAAGAAAAGAAAGAAAAAGATAAGTAGTGTTGTGTTTAGATGGGATGATTTGAAGGGGAAAGAAATGATTTCAAATCCCTCATTTGAAATCCCTCCAAAATTGACAAGATTTGGAAGGATTTGGAGAGAAAGGGAGCTAATGACAAAAAGTATCCCATATGGAAAAGTCGCCGGAAGTTGCAGAGATCGTCGGCACTTGCAATGGCGAGTTCTCCTTGGCCGTAAAACGACTTGAGAAGAGAGAGACCAAGATGGAGAACAAGACCCGCGATGGAGAATGAGGCTCGGCCGATGAGGCCAAGAGCTCGTTGGAGTTGCTGAAGGCGCGAAGGCCTGAGATGGCGCCAGAAAATACAGAGAAAGAGAAAGGGTGTGGCTCGCAGTGGTGATAGTGTTGAACAGAAGGGAAAAATGAGATGGGGGCTATGGTTTCTGAGGGAGCTTCAGGTGAAGAGGGGATGAACTCAACGTGGGGACAAATAATAGAAAATTTTAGTGCTTCATTGGACTCAACGTGGCTCTGCCACCGAACAGACACATAGGACCGGAACAATACTATAAAACCAAACTCTTTTTGTCAACAAAATTGTATTTTATGCGTCATTTGAATTCTATTTGAAAGCAAGTTCCTTGCCCAAAAAATTAAGCTCTTATATGGTTTGCCTTCTAATTGATGAGTGTGTGTGTGTGTGTGTGTATATATATATATATATATATACAACATACGTAATAATATTTCATATTAGTTCAAAGGATTAAGCTCCTATTCTACCAGCAACAGATCAATTTCAGGCACAATCATATTGATATGTACTAACCCTACCAAAAAGGGTAAGATGGTAATTTCATTATTGCCAATTCCTTTCTTTTCTATCATTTATGTTATCCAAACAATAATATTGCCAATTCCTTTCTTTTCTTTCCTATCTATTTAAACATGAATATAAATTATAGCTATCATTTCCTTTCTTTTCTTTTCTTTTCTTTTATAATCATTTCCTTTATTTTCTCTCCTGTGTATCCAAACGAAACCCTAGAGTTTTAATTTAGTATAAATAGGTCCCTCTAACAAATTTAACCCCTAAATTAAATAAATTATTCTTAATCTATTTTATAACATATATAAAAATAAAAATAAATAATTTTGTAAAATGACACTATTAGAGTATGCCGCAATAAACAAGTAAAGGTAAAAATAAAAAATTAAAATAAAGCCAAATTAATTTGCTCCGAACTTCGAAAATCATTGCACTTTGAGAACTGTGATAGAAGAACTAATAGTTTTTGGAGTGAAAATTTTCTATCGAGCAGAATGGATATGCACAAGCACAATGTACTTCAGTGGATGGTGTGAGCATTGAAGATCCAACCGAACTTAAGCATCCATTGAAAGCTCTAGAGGAGAAAATTGTACCAGGGAAGATTCCAGCAAAGAAAGAAGTTCCAGTTATGGCCACAGCGAATGCTAAGACCAAAAATTCAACTGACGAGATCACAAAGCTTCGAAAAACAACCGGCGCACTTCAGAGAAGACCCTAACAGTTCCGGCGAACTTCGCTCAGTGACCGATGTTGAATAATAAACTTGATTTTAGTATTTTAGTATTTAGTATTTTCAAGTATTTTTATATCCATGATGCATGTGTGAATTTATTATATATGTTAGTGGGTAGTAAATTGTCTTAGTGGGAGTTAAAGTATTGTAAAATCAAGACTCATAAGAGTTACAACTAGTAATGGTCATTTTAGTGGGTTAGTGGGAGTTATGCCTATTGAAGACTATGTTAGTGGGAGAAATGAGAGTTATAGACATTTAAACGTAATGGTTACATATACATATGTGAGGCCTATATAGTCATGTACTCTAGTCATTTTAGAATTAGAATAAGTTAGATATAAGTGAAATAATATATTTCTTCCATTTCTCTTTTAAATTATATAGAGTTGCATTTATTTGTATAACCCACTATTTCCAACAAAGTGGTATCAGAGCAAAGTCAGAAAGTGGTATCAGAGCCAACGCCAACAAAGTGGTATCAGAGCCAGGTTTCATGTTCAGAGCGTAAACGATCCTGAAGGCTCGACAAAGTTGATCCTAAAAGGTTCAATATTTTTAGAAAAAACATGATTCTCCTTAATGATGATGAAGAGGGGAAAATGTATTTTCTTAGTGAGAAGATGATGTTCTCTAATTACAAGAGAATGAAAATCATCATGACTTCATAATTCAAAGCATGTGATTTGTGGGATGTTGTTGAAGAAGAGCCAAAGAGTGGCATGTCCAACAAGCTTCGTGAAAAAAAAGAAGAAAATGCATTGGTAGTGTTGCAAAAGGCAATACATCAAGAAATTTGGGAGTATTTTGGAGAGTCCAAAACTCCAAGTTGTGTTTGGAAGATGCTCGAGACCATCGTTTCTAATCATAGAGGTGAATCACTACCCATGGAGTATTGGGTACAATACTTTGAGGATGATGAGTTTACGAATGGTGATTATGAAAATTTTGAGGACAAAGTTATGGAGAATGAAAAAGGTGTATCATGCAAAAAAAGTTAAAGATTTTGGAGATTCAAAAGTTGAAGGAGAATTTGAAATGGTGAATGAGGAAGAGGTAAGAAAATATGTTAAAGAAGAAATTGAAAAAGTGGAGGAGGATGAAGTGAAAATAAAAGATTTAGAAGAAGAAATTGCTAAAAAAGAGGCAAAAGTTTAAGTTGGTGAGTTAACATTTTCAGGTATGGTTACAAATTCTATCTTGAAAGAAATTATATTTGACTTATTTGATAAAATTATTATTTCTTCATATTCATCAAATAATACTTATTTTGTGGAGAATGATGAACTTCTCCTCAAGAAAATTATTCCAATTAATTATAAGATTGAAGCTAAAGGCGACAAGAATTTTTTGAATTATTTTTTACAAGATGGTTTGGAGAATTTTGTAATTGACACAGGTTGGGTGAATATGGAGTTATTTTTTTATTCCAAAGAATAAGCACATAAAAAGTTCAAGAAGTTTGAAGAATTCAAGAAGAGAGAAAAATGATGGTGCACCCATGTGAAGAAGATAAATGTTGATCATAAAAGGGCATTATTCAAGCATTTGAAGAAGTTTCACAAGCCCTACACATCAATGGAAATGGCCAAAAAGATTGAAACTATTGAAGGAGGTGGAATTGAAGATCAACCATTGAACTTTTGATCAAGCCCCCAAGATTAATAAGATTCTCAAGTTACAAAAATCAAGTTTAAAGGGGGGTGTTGAATAATAAACTTGATTTTAGTATTTAGTATTTTCGAGTATTTTTATATCCATGATGCATGTGTGAATTTATCATACATGTTAGTGGGTAGTAAATTGTCTTAGTTAGAGTTAAAGTATTGTAAAATCAAGAGTCATTAGAGTTACAACTTGATGCGACCTAAGCGTGTGCACAAAATAATGCACAACACTTTGGTTTTGGAAATGGTATCAAATGGGCATCATACTTTAAATTTATATAAAAGCCGCTTGATACTTATACCGTCAAGTATGAAGTGAGAAGGGATCGTTCCGAATGATTGAACACGTATTGAGATTAAACTTGATTTTAGTGCTAATGAGATTGCACAAGAGAGAGAGAAAAAAAGAGAGAGTTAAGAGAAAAAGAGTTTAGTGAAGTGATTAAATAAATTACAATGCCAATAAATTAAACTAAATTAAACTAAGGGATTAAAGAGATATGAAGAGAGTCTTAGGGTTAGGAGTCACCGCTAAACCTATGCAATTAACCAATTGCTTTCAATTAATGGGGAAATCATTAGTGTAATCATAGGTGTGGTTACATTGTCATCACAAATCACAATTGTAAGCATAGATTATCAACATCAAGATCAAATTGTCTACCTAATGACAACTAAACTAAAGTGTAGAACACATTCAAGACTACGTCATAACCCACCATACACATTCACAAATGTATCCGATAAGAGCACATATCAATCAAGAAGATAATACTAATTGTAATTAGGAGTATGGATTAACATAATCAAGCACAAATTGCCTACTTTACTACAATTAACTAATGACAAGAAAGCTAATTTGTAAAATAACCCATCAAGATTAAGCCTTTATCCATCAAATTAATTGACAATTGTATCAAATAAATATCATGCTATGGCCATCACTAAACACATCTACAAGGAGTATCTAGTGTAGAATATAATTCTAAAGTAACCACACATAGACATGAAATTTACATATAGAATTAATGGAAGAATTAAGTTTAAATCATCTAATGAAGAATAAAATCCCTAATTAATCATACATAGACATATAATCAACTGGAGATTTCAATGAAAGAATTTATCAATACAATCCTTAATTTGTCAAATCAAGCATGTATATATAAAGAAATCACA